AAATTTTTGCTACTGCTACTGCTGTCCTACTGCTACTGCCAACTTCACCGTTTTATAAATTTGCTACTGCTACTGCGCTGTCCTACTGCTACTGCCAACTTCACGTTTTTATAAATTTGCTACTGCTACTGCTGAGCTACTGCTACTGCCAACTTCACGTTTTATAATTTTGCTATGCTACTGCTGTCCTACTGCTACTGCCAACTTCACGTTTTATAATTTTGCTACTGCTACTGCTGTCCTACTGCTACTGCCAACTTCACGTTTTATAAATTTGCTACTGCTACTGCTGAGCTACTGCTACTGCCAACTTCACGTTTTATATATTTGCTACTGCTACTGCCGAGCTTCTGCTACTGCCAACTTCACGTTTTATAAATTTGCTACTGCTGAGCTACTGCTACTGCTAACTTCACGTTTCCTACTGCTGCTATTGCTACTGCCTACTTCCCATACATATTTCAAGTCCATAATACTGGGCATAAAGGTAATGTGTTCATTTGACTTATTTAAGATAATAGCCATTTTGACAATATGTATTCTATGTCTTGCCCTGAACCAAGCTGTATTGTGAAATTCTTATTTTATTTCGAAATCGAAACCATTTAACTAATGGTAATAGTTATATGCATCATCATAAAAAATGATTTTACTTAAGTAATTAACAAATTACATTTGATCTCATTTTGGTGACATAGCCATGTCGTCATCAGCTCATGTTTGACATTTCTCTAACCATTTTCCTCGCTAAACATCTTAAATTGACTTGTCCATCTTTTAATCTAGACAAGAATAGTCATAATGTTTAGAGAAAAAAAAAAACTTTAAAATATGTACTGACTGAATAGCGAACAGGAATGACTAAAATCAAAAGGTACGGATGTGCTTACAGTTACTGATCTTGGTCGACGTCTGAACTGGTCCAAAGGGTAGATTCAGTTTCCACCGACAGGCTAAGAAGAATACGTTAAATACATAAAAATTGCACAAATGTCTAGACTGATATCTCTACTCAAATTGTCATGTCACGTTTAATTAACCTATCATGACGTTTGCGTTTTAACGTAAACTAATAGATAATAAACATTTTTATCTATATTGTCATTTAAATACAGTTGAGGTTAACACCTTGGGAAAATTCTTTATAGCCAATGGTGGACTAGGAAATATATATAAGACTGCTCATTTTCATTTCCATTGGAGAAAATACAGCAACAGGGGGTCAGAACATACCATTGATAGTAAAAAGGCTCCGCTAGAGGTAGGTTTTCATCATATTTGTTTAAGAGGTGGACATAGTATGTTTTTCTATATCTATATCTTCTGATAACTTACCAAACAATTCTAACATGATTTAACACAGTTTCATATTTTTAATTTTTAATTCTCACATGACTTTCATCATTTGTTCAGTTTTATAATGAAGCTATAGAAAAACCAATTCGTCGTAACAGCTGCAAAAGTGGAGATAATATTCATATTTAGACGTTTTCAGGTAGTTTGTAAATTTGTTGCGGACTTGGTTTTGGCAAATTGGTAAACGTTGCTGAATGATTCTGTAACATTAAACTGTATTTCAAAACTATTTAGTCGTTGTTTATTATAGATGCACATTGTAAGCTGGAACCAGAAATATATGAACGCAGATGATGCAGCTAAATATACGGACGGTCTTACTGTTCTCTCTATTTTGTTTAAATTATCAACCCGTGATAATCCTGTATTAGAGCCAGTAATACAAGTTCTACCTGAAGTAAAAGATCCAGGTAATATGACTTCTATACTAGTAATAACAGTATGCATCTGAAACAGATAAACAAATTAATTTTAATTTTTATTGTCACTTGAAAAACATGCATTTTTAAAAAACCCGGGTCATATGTGGGACAAAGGGGAAATTTCATTTTTAAAAATGTTTGGGGCCTTTTCCCTTTATACCTCTTTTTCTTTTATTTAAAAGGGATAGAACTTTTCCCCTGAATCTTTTTTATTTTTAGTTTTTTAGGGTTAATTTTAAAATATAGTTTTTTATCTATTAAAAAAGTAAGAAAAACTGTGTTTAAAATTTGGGGCAGTAATGGTCAAAATTTTAAAACAACCTTTGTAAAAAAACCTGGCCAAGTGCTTTTAAATTTTTTTGTCGAGCATGTTTAATTTGTTTACAAAAAACAAAAATGGTAAATACATGTCCCAATTTAAATATGGCAAACAAAACAAACAAACAAAGGGAAATTTTGGAAATTATGGCCAGTATGGGGTTGGGAAGGGGCAGCTAGGAAATTGCCCTTTTTTTCATTTTTTTCCACAAACGTTTTTTTATGAAAAATTGAAGAAATTTAACAGCATTTGCAATGTCGTACTTTTTATTTTACTATAATTTTAACTTGTGTTATTTTTCAGATAATGGAGTGTTAATTACAATTCCTGCAACCTCAATCAAGCATTTCCTGCCAAAGTTTCCGGACCGTTACTTCAGGTACCATGGTTCTTTGACAACACCAAACTGTAACCAAGCAGTGATTTGGAGTGTGTTTGAACAACGGCAATTTATTTCAGAAAGGCAGGTAGGTAAACCTAAATATTTTGATGCGTGTTCATGAATATATATCCTTATTTTAAGTTCTCTTATTCTCGTTTGCTTGTGCTTTACATTGCCTTGACTAAATATGCAATAATTATCATAAAAATTTAGTCTCGGCTTAAAACGTAAAAGGTACGTGGTTTACAAAGAGGAAACAGAAGCACTGGTAAATGAACCATTTGTGTCCTCATTCATTATACTGGGCAAACATTGTAATGCCTTTCAACATGCTAGTAAATTGACGAAACATTCAAATACTTGCGCTTAAATTTTCTATAAAAAAGTAAGATTTGGTTTTAGGAAATTGGGTCTTGCAGGTTTGAAACCCATTTTTTCGTTTTATTTTTCCCCTAATAAAACAAATGCTTGTTTTTTAATAACCCATTTCCCAAAAGGTGAGTTGCTCATCCCGGGTTTTTTATTGAATTTTTTAGTTTTCTCCCCCAAAAAGGAAAACCCTGATAATTGAATTTCCCTTGTAGGGGCAACGTTCCTCATAATTTTTTTGTTTCCCGATGGAAAAAATTTAATTTTTAGAAATTTCCCTTTTTTTGTAAAAAAAACATCGTAAATTTTTTTCCCAAGATCGTTGTTTGAAAAAAACTATGTTAAAAACAAAGGGAAAAGTGTTGAAAACAAACCCCTTTAATTTTTGATTTATTTCCCTTTTTCGTTTTTAAATCATTTCCCTTAAAATCTACAGGCCTTTTGTTTTTTTGCCCGACTATATTGAAAAAAGTATGAAAAGCATGTCAAAGCGAAAATACAAAAAGTTTTTTTTTTTTTTCTCATTAAATAAAACACCTTTAAATAATTTCAATCTAATATATTTCATAACAGCTGCAAATATATCAAATGTTATCACGCTGTTTTTATTGTCTTCCAGTTGAACTATTTCCGTCAAATGCTTGCATCCTCAACTAATTCAGAAACCAAAGTACAGAAGCAACTTGACCAAGTTACAAATGGTAAATTTATTATTTATTGTGTTCATATTTAGAATATATCAGTCATGTTTACATAAAGTATCTTAGCAGAGGGATTAGTTTGTATCCAAATGTCCCTCCTGCATTAAAGATTATCCGTGATATGTTTTTGTTTCCTTATTACAGGTGAAAATCTAACAGCAAACAAGTCATTAAAAATAGAACTTTTCCAGTATTCAAAATGTCCTCTTAATAAAAGAGTGTCTTTGTTTCTTTATTTCCTATTCAATTCAATTAGAAAATCGGGTGATTAATTATTTAACTCCTCTCAAATTCTAAAGTAAAATATCACACATAATTCATAATTTCTTTGTCATTTTGAAATCATAAAGGCAGAATTTTCATGGTTATTTCTAAAATGTTTAATATTATATTTCAGGTCGTGAATTCAGTAGACGGGTTAGATTAATCGACAACTTTCGACCTATCTACGAGCTCCATGGACGTCATGTTTATAGGAGTTTCAAACATTATGACGTCAAACAGTCGTTAAGCAAATATTATAAAGCACAGTTTAACTCTAAGTCTTGTTTAAAACCTTTCGATTTTAAAACTGGTTCTAAGGGTTATCTTTCACTGAAGCCTCCATCTTATCTTCCCATCCTTTAATGTACTGAATAGGGGTGTAACTTTAATTTATTAAAGCTTTCAAAAGTAACTTTGTCTACTTGTGATGGTTTTTATGCGAGAAATTAATTACAGAGAAAAATTAAAGTCCTTAAGAAACATTAAAACATTGTAACAAGTTGAGTTTGTCTGACAGATTCAAGAATATTTATTTGGAATACAGAAAATTTAGGGGTTATAAATATCCGGCATTCAAGCCGCTAGTGGCTAGTTAAATTCAAATGATACTGAGAAACATTTAACAATGGTCTCGCGTTTTGATCAGACATATGTAAAACATTTAGTGGCATCTACAAGAAGGTTGGTGATTCTGTGTGACAAAAAAAGTAATAATGACATGAAAAGGACGTCGGCTTAAACTTGTACAAAGGTACTTCCCGTAAAAAAATTATCGGGTGTATCTTTAATCTTCTGCACACCGGTTCGTTTTCTATTTCCTCTAAGAAAGTAGTATCGATTTACATTATTGAGGTCAGACTGAGCATAGTTAATCACAGAGATGTCAGCTGTAAATAGATATACATTTGGTATGTTCGAGAACTGATTCTAGTTAAACGTTTACATCCTACCGTTAATTGTTACATCTTGTTTATAATGTAGCAGGCCAAGTTTGATCAAGTGTGTTCATGGACGGTAGTGGTAACTGCAAGCTATCGTGCTCGGCGCCTAGCAACGGGTTAAGCAGAATTTATCATTTAAGCATCTTAATTCAAGAACTTCCGCAGAAGTGTTTATACGGCAAAGGAACCTTCAACATGTACGGCACGTTCGTTGTACTGCATGAAAAGCGGCGCATGGTCCCCCAATGCGTATGCCCTTAACAACAGAACAATGTGCGAAACTAAATATAATAAAATATTAAGAGAGGATCAAAGGTCATGCGTATATCTGCGTATCACAGACACAACGTCAAACGACAAATTTTAGAAAGCAGGCAACATAACATTAGGATGATTCTACAGTATTCAAGAAGAAATACTGGAATCATCCAACTAGAAAAGGGTCATATGGAAGGATTAACGTTCATAAGGTGTGTGAAAGGAAACTGGTTTTAAAAGGAAAGTATGTTTTTCACAATGCTAGGAGACACTTCTCCGTTAACAATCCATCTTTGATCACTGTTGTTTGAATACATCTTTAAAATCTATATGTCACTACCCGTTTGTTTCATTGTTTTGTTTCATTGATTTCATTTGATACGTGACGATTACACCATCTCTGCAAACCTTTGAACTTAAAACAAACTAAGCAACAGAAATAAAGAATTACGAAACTTGATAAAATAGGGAACCATTTTCCTGAACGCGACATATTTTCAAATAATTTCAAATCAAAGATAGTTGCCGCACAGCGATAAGATATAAAGTTGTGATGAAGGCTTTTGATAGAGCTAGCTAGTTTATATTGACCCCAGCAGGCACTCGACGTTGTTTCAACGTTGAAACAACGTTGAAATATGGTCGTGACGTTGTTCAACCAATATTCAACTATGGACGACCAGACGGATATATTGCAAATGTATATACAACGTTGATTCAACGTTGTTTATGGTCGAAGTTTTACATTTAGTTTAGTCATTATATAAACTTTTAAACCTCTAATTTTGTGTTATTATTCCTTTATTGAATTGGTCTGTAAGCGATTTTTTTTCAGGAAAATTTGCGTTACAATCTTTTCCCGTATATTCAAAATTAGCACTTAAACAAATAAAGTTAGAAATATTTTTTCACTTTCTATTAACGCTTTTAATATTAGTTAATATGTTTTGTTGTTTGTTGTTTTATTTTTTAGTTTTTATGAATAATATTAATTAAAAAATTGATATACATTGTAAGTCAAAGCCCCGTTTATAAAATAACGCTGATCAGGGGAAGTAATTGTTGCGGTCTATGATTTTGTTTGTCTATGATTATCGTTCGTGCAAATGATGGCGCTGTTTGGAAAATTTGAAAACAACACGATCGGCAATTTGGATTTCGAAGGTATTACAGTAATATTTTACTTTAGTTTACTGATTATTTTCTAAATTATTATTATTTATTCTTAAATTCTACTTTAATTTACTTTATGAAATAAATGAGAGATGAAAACACATGATTGAGTTGATTTGACACGTTTTCGCGACCTAATTGAATGATTTTGTTTTCGGTAGGCCCTGTAAGCATGAAGACGTTATTGATGTCCTTGGCAATTTATGGTTTTACAAATCTTGTCTTTCTTTAAATTTTTTCATATTATTAAACATTTGCCTGTACTATATCCTAATTAGAATTTAATCAATTATAAAATTGAAACCTATAAATTAGTTCGGCCCACATAATTTACGTCCCAAGACGATTCGTCAATATATATATTTAACTATGTTTATATTTAAGTGATAGTATAATACAGTGTTAATTAGTTTGAAAAAATACTTTATTATTAAGTTAAATAACAAATTTGATTGTTAAACTTTTCGGAATATTACTTTAACATTATTAATATAAAATTTACATGTTTGTTGATTTCAGGATGCTGTATAAAATGGTCTTAGCTCGAGCCAAGAATTTCTTGGGAATTTGCTGCAAGGAACTGACGGGGAGCAGTTTTTCTTACCAATCATAGGTGAGACTTTTAAATAGCTTCTTTTTAAAAAGGTTTTGTTGTCTTATGTACAGTATTTGCTGTGAATATGAAACTTAGCTATGTTTCAATTTCTATGCTGTTTTATGATGTTAATCTTAGAGATAATCATTTTAAGATAAAAGCAAATCACTAAGTTGAGTAATTATATGTATAATTTGAGATTGACCAAGTCACTTTTAACTACAAACTTCTTATTTTTATTTGCAGAAGGAATATGAGACAGCCAAAGAAGTACTCAAACACTTGACATACCAAGAAAGATCTAGAAGAAAAGATTGGAACAGATTGTAGCTTAATTTTAAAACTATTAAAGTGAATTTAAGCTGCACTTGAACTGTATTTTTGAAATAAAATATCTGAAGTATTTAATATTGTCTTGATATTTTGTAAAACTTGGTTACTTTGCTTTATATCCAAAAATTAAAGTATGATGGGTTTTCAACGTTGAAACGACATTGAAACTTCAACGTTGTGCCAACGTTGAAGCTGCAACGTTGTATCAACGTTGAAATTTCAACGTTGTTTCAAAACTCAAATCCGAATATAAATCCAACCATATTTCAACGTTGAAATCTGACCATAATTCAACGTTGAAACAACGTTGATGTGCCTGCTGGGACGTGTTTGCTACTAAACGGTTGTTTGCTAAACAATTGTTGCACAGCGGTCAATGTTATATGAGGTCAGGGTCAATTGAGGTAACAAAACATATCTACTTAGCTATATAACCTGTCAAAAACTATTCATAACTTATAATAAAGATGTGTTACTAAAGAAGAATTGAATGTAATCGTTATTGTCCAGTGGTTTAATTAATGACTAGTTGCATTTGTTTTGTTTGTTTTGTTTTTATTTCGAGTGGCCAAAAGTAAATACATTAATACTGTGGATAGTGTGGATGTCTAGTGTTACTGTCCAATTTAGGTCGACAGTTTCATGTTGCACTTTTCATCAGCTATCATATGAATCGAAAGAAGAAACCTCACATTGTTTTTCCTTCTTTTTTTGTTTTGTTGTTTTTTTGTTGTTGTTGTTGTTGTTATTATCATTTTATTCCCATATTGTACAAAACATGTAACAAAAATATTTTCGGTCGATATTATGTATTGGCAATCAAAAATCAGTCAAAACTGTGTCCAAACCACCCAACTATTTTTTTTTCTTTTCGTGACAAAAGCCCCCCTTAACTAACACTACAGTGCTTAACAGAAGATAAGATAAGATAAAGATAAGATAAGTTTTATTTCAAGTCGGCAAGTTTTCAACATTACAACATAAGCTCTAGGAGCTTTTATAACCGACTGTAAATAACATAAAGTATAAGATCAACAAAGATAAAACAGCTACAATAAAAAATGATTAGACATGATATATATACATCACATGCATAAAATAGACCTTTTAAGATATATTTATAAAAACGAATCATATGCTAAAAAACTAAAAATGATAGTTTACCCAAATCTACATCACTAGCAATGTCTAGTATCTAAAAATTTACTTAAAGTTCAATAATATACTGAGTAAACAATTAAAAATTTAATGAATTATTTAAATAAATAAATAAAATAAAAAAACTAAACAAAAAAACAAAACAAAAAAAAAACATACATTTTTTTATATATTATTTAAATATGAAAGACTATGGGTTATCAGACTACACAAAGACAGAAGGTAGTAAACATGTTAGTCATTAGTTGAGCTTATTTAACAGCTAGCTTGAGTCATGCTGGAGAAGATAAGCAAAAAAACAACAAAACAAAAAGCAAAAATCAAAACAAAAGATCACAAAATAAAGCAACATCCTATCTAGAAACTAAATGATAATAATAACATAAGCAGGGAAGAATAGCAAAAACACATTTAAAGCAAGCAAGAAAAAAACAACTGAAGAAGCTAAATGATAAATGTGACCCAAAAGAAAATGTTCATACCCAGAAAAATAAATGAAAAGTGGAGTAAATCAAGATATAGAAGTTAGCTGCAAGCAATACATTTACACTGTTTACCATTCCAGGATGAAATTAACTTTTTAAACTGAGCAAAATTTGAACATTTTCTAAAATTTTTGGGTAGAGTATTCCATAAAGCAGGTGCAGCATACCTGAAAGATTTTTTACCAGTAGTTGTAGTTCTTACTTGCGGGATCTGCAAAATATTTGAATATTTAAAATTAATACCAGTAGTTTTCTTGACAATAAGGTCAGACAGAACAGCAGGAGACATATCATGAAAAATTTTAAAAGTTTTAATGGCCATAGCCCTCATTCTTCTTATTTTTAGAGTTGGTATATTAACTTTTATCAGCATATCTTCATAACTTGAATTAAAATCATTATATACAAATCTGAGTGCTCTTTCCTGTAGTTTTTCCATCTTGTTTGTATTATTTTCTGAACAAAAATGCCATGCCATAGGACAAAAATTAAAATTGGACAAAATAAAAGTATGAAAGATTGTTAGCCTATTTGTTTGATTTAAATTGTGACCTATTCTTTTGAGGATGTTTTACTGATTAGCAGCTTTTTTACATATATTGCTTATGTGAAAATTAAAATTTAATTGTTGATCAATGTCGATGCCAAGGAGTTTTACAATTTCGTCACATGTTATTTCACTAGTATTAATTTTGAAAGCTGGGGATTTAGTGAAAGTTTTCTTCCCTACAGCAATAGCTTGAAATTTATCAGGGTTAGCTTGCATTTTATTAAAATGAAACCAATTTATAAGATAGTTACTTTCTTGTTCTAAGGTACATATTAGTTCATCATAACGTTTAGTCCGAAAAGAAAGGGTATTGTCATCTGCATAGTTATATAAAGTACATTTTTTATAAAGAAAAATATATCATTTATGAAAATGTTGAACAGTAGAGGGCCCAGGATTGATCCTTGAGGGACACCTTTGGATATATTAGCCCATGAACTTACAATATTGCCTATTTTTATTTGCTGTTTCCTGTTTGACAGATAAGACTGCATGAGGTTGGTGGCAGGGCCTGATAAGCCATATGCTTTTAGCTTATCTAAAAGAATGTCATGTGGCAGACAATCAAATGCCTTAGATAAGTCCATCAAAATTGCTGCCACATATTCATTGTTATCCAGGGCCTGTCTCCAGTCCTCAAGCAGTCTTAACAGAGTAGTCTGACACCAATGGCCTTTCCTAAAAGCACATAAATAATTGTCAAATATATCATCAAAAAAAGCAGAGAGCTGATCAAATAATACCTTTTCAAAAAGTTTAGATGGAATAGGTAATAAACTTACTGGTCTATAGTTAGATTTGGTCAAAGCGTCATTTTTTTTGAAAAGTGGTTTTACTTGTGCTTGTTTTAATTTAGTCGGAAAAACTTGTGATTTAATTGAGATGTTAATTAGATTTGTCAATGGTTCAACTAGTGATGGTTTACCTAGTTTAATAAATTTGGCTGAAATTTTATCTGCCCCTGTGGCCTTTTTAACATTTAGATTATTTATAAGTTTAGATATATTACCTTGTGATGTTTGTTCAAAGCTAAAGGCATCTTGTAAAAAATTTCTATCATTGATTTGAGCAATACTAGGATGATTTTCTACATTGTAATCATAATCTTTCCCTATAGATTCTGCTACATTTGTGAAAAAGCTATTAAAAATTTCAGCAACTTCTGAGTCGTCTGATATAATATTATTATTTTCATTAAGTATTATTTTTGGCTGTTCTAGAGTACATTTATTTGATAAATATGGTTTAATTGTATCCCAGAATTCTGATGATTTGCATCCTCCTATACACCTTTCATTAAAATAATTGTTTATTGACTTTTTCTTTATCTTATTTACATGATTTCTAGCTTTTCTATATTGTTCCCATGTTTTGGAATTTTTACATTTTAAATATTTATTATAATACATTTTTTTGTTATATATTGCTTTTCTAAGTTCTCTATTCATGTATGGGAGTTGTTTTGATTTTCTATACATCTGTTTTATAGGAATATGTTTGTCAAAAATTTTTTGGATATCCTGTTCAAAAGTTTCATATACTTTATTTACATTTTCTTCAGAGCACTGTATACTATCAGGGGTAGGAACTACTATGGAAGAAAGATCAATATTTAGTGAATTAATATCAAGATTTCTGAAGCTTCTATAACTAATTTTAATTTTCTGATTTTTTGGAATGGTGTTATTTATCACTGTACTTATCATATTATGACAATCACTAATACCAGTTGCAAAATTCATTGTTTTCATACAAAGAGGCTTAGAGTTAGTTAAGATGACATCCAAAAGGGAAGGAGTGCAATTTTTCATAAAACATGTTGCAGATTGTATTAGATTTTTAAAATCAAATCACAGAATAAATGATCCTCTTAATAAGGACCTCTTGTCTATAGAGAAAATGTTATATTTCTCCTCCGTGCGACCCTGGTCACAGGTTTGACTGTAATTATGCATTAAAGTACACACACACACATATATATATATATATATATATTATATATATATATATATATATATTTATATATATATATATATATATATATATATATATAATATATATATATATATATATATATATATATATATATATATACTAAGTTATATATATCAACTATATATTTGATTTTACCATAGGTGAAAACATATTGACCAATAACATAAAACCCCATAATAAATATATAAATTTGTGGGATATATACCATTTACTACTAAAACCGGCCTACGGGCACTATGTTAGAAGGGTAGCCTACGCCCCCATACATCGTTTTAAACATGCCAGAGTTGCGAGGCCTTATGTATGCCCCACATTAAATATAAACCCCACAAGTATGGTCTCAAATAGACCGATGCCCCGTAAATTGAGGAATGTGACTGTATATATATATAGTCAATACAAATTCAACAATCTCAAATAAAGCCAAATATCGAAACCTCACATTGTAATTATACTTATTAACATAATTATGGTCAACTAATGCTCTTTTCACATAAAAAAACGAACTATTTTTGCGTTGTCATGTTAATAGATATTTTAGCAGTAACATTTCAATTTTGAGTGTTTAATTATAAAAAGCTACCTAATTAACATATTGTAAGTCAAGAACAATAAAAACATCATCGTCCTTTTTATTACAATAAGCGTTGTTGGTTCATCGCGCATTCAGGCATAGTTTCGTACATGTATTTTGTTTGTGTGGTAAAGCGAGAATAATGGAGAAAATCGCGTTCGGATGTTTAAGTATTTTTCTTTTATTGCATTTTGTACCAGGAAGTGGTCAGGAAGCACCACGACCTCGTAAATTTTCATGTATGTTATCCGCTTTTTACGATTTTATGCCATATATTTCGAATAAAGTATTTATGTTTTGTTTTTTTTTTTAAGTAATTTTGTTTAAATTTTTCCACAATTTTATTAATTACTTTAATTAGTATTTGTTAAGCATTATATGTATTTTACAGAACATTTTTTGTGTTAAAATGATAAATTACGTTTCAACAGATCTCCGATATTTTACATACAAGTAACAATATGTTATATATATGATATTTTTGTTACAAAATTTAACGCATATTTTTATATTTTGTAGCGTTCCAGGTGCTGATACCAGGTAATGCAATGTTGCTTTTTTACATATCTTTTTTTTTCTGATCAGATTTAAATTCAGCCTGCTTTCTAGAAAGCTTTGGTTATTTCATTTTAAGTAAAAAAATATGACAGACTTGCAAAAATAGAATTATTCTGTTGTTCAAGTAAAAAAGCTTAGTTCTAAAACTGTAAAAATAAATGTCATCGGAAGAAAGTATTTTGCTTTATGATTTACTTGTGCAGGGTTTATCTCTTCGTGAATCGTCATGATGGGAACTACGAGGGTTGTTCGAAAAGAAATGCTTATTGTCCTCTATCTCGTAATCCGCGTGGGACATAATAAAAACCAACACATACCTGTAATGGGTAATTCAATACCTACACATCGGTTTATAAATGTACATGTTAGACTTAGAGTAAGACATACAATTTGCCATTTAAATACACGCAGTCATTGACCACTGTAGTAAAAATGGTTGGCAGAAGCGTCGACAAAAAAGATGAAATACGGGCTTACATCAAAGCTCGCTCAAAACTGGGTTGCTCTTTAAAGCAGTTATTGACTGAACTCTCTACTGCGTATGGACCTTCTTGTGTGTCTTATGATACAGTTAGGCCATTGGAAAAGAAATTTGAGTGTGGTGTAGAGTGCATCAAAAATGCATCAAAATCAGGTAGGCCAAAATCTGCATCTCGTAACGAAATCGTTTCCAAAATAAAGGATATCATTGAAGGAGATGCCAGATTTACAGTTCGTGATATTGCAAGAAAGGAAGGCATATCACTTCGAACGGTTCACTTTATTTTGAAGAAGCATTTGAAAGTCAGAAAGATTTCCGCTTGATGGGTGCCACATCTGTTGACCGATGATCAAACGGGGCAACGGGTTAAGGTGGCCAAAAAGCTGCTTCAAATGTTTCCAAAATATGATAAAAAAACAGTTTGCCAATGTCGTCACAGGTGATGAAACTTTGGTCCATTATTTTGAGCCCGTCAGAAAAGTTAGCAACAAGATATGGGCCACTAAACACAACAAACGCCCAATAATTTCCAAACAGTCTTTGAGTGTTTGTATGCAATTTTCGTCTCTGGTGAGGGAGTCGCAATAAAAGTGCCTGTGAAAAAGGTCAAAAGTATCACTTGGAAGTACTACAAAGACGTAGTGCTTAAGAAACTGAAAAGAAATTATCAGAAACGACGCCTTGTCACTTGTTTTAAGCATATCCGTCTTCTACATGACAATGCCCCCGCTCATACCTTCGCAATAGTTTCGGCGTTTCGAAAGAAGAAACTGTTTTGCCTCACCCCTCGTATTCTCCAGACCTTGCCCCATGTAATTTCTTTTTGTTTCCGAAATTGAAATCCTTCCTTGCTGGGCAGAAATATAAGTCCCGACAGGCACTTGGATCTGCCATTCATCAGTACCTTTTTACTGCGCCCAAATCAGCGTACCGTGACGCCTTCAAGAATGGGATACATCGGCTAAAACTTTGCATTTCCAGGCACGGGGAGTAATGACATGGGCATGAAATGAACACTTTTGAGCTAACTTGAAATTTGAAGTCTCCAGATAGAAATAAGCAATACATTTCGAACATCTCTAGTAAATTATCAAAATATGAAGGAAAACATAAACTAATCTAATATTAAAATTGTCAAATCAAAGAATATTTATATGCAAGGATGCATAATACATAACATATATTTGTTAAGTATATTTTCATATTTTAATGGTTTCAGATGTCTCATACTGGGCATATGGAAACAATGATCACGGTAAGCATATTTTAAATAAGGACATCATTGATATATGAACATGGAGAGTCGTCTGGTTAGCTCCTCAGTACTATAGGTAGAGCGTTGGACTGTGAATCGGGCGACCCGGGTTCGATACCCGGACGGAGCAGGTCACTTTCGTCGTGATTCATTATGAATTACTGTCGACGGTCATTCACACTGTACCTATGCTCTAGAATTATATGCAGAAGTTATCAGTTCCTTGCAAAGTGAAGGCAACTAGTACTGGTAAACGGCTTGACAACTTACCCAGGAAGTCGTGACTGAACTTGAGCTGTGGTAAATTCAATGAAAACTATCAACACCATCACCGCCATATGAATATAGCTACCAATTAAAACATGAATCACTTATAAGAACATGTGAACATAACATGTATAAACGCATGTGAAAATAACCTCTCTTATAAAAAAAAGATTAGAACATATTTACATACATACAAAAATACGTAGACAAACATCAACATTATAAACGGTACACAAATTAGAGCATGTGAACTATCATCACTTCATTTATTTTGACAGTCAATGATCTCTGGTAATAAACTAAACGTTAATTACGTCACGTTTGACCTTTACAAAAATGCGGTTAATTAAGGACCATTATTACTATAAAAATGCATTTTTTTCTTTAAATCTTTTTTAATTTCTATGTGCCAAAGCGTTACTAATTAGCTAATTACCTGACCATCTTTTGCTTCTGTCTCTTTTTGGCAATTGGTATATGTATGGAAGTAAAAATACTGCATGTTCTTTGATTACATTTCTATGGTGGCATATTTCTGCCACCAGATAACCATATAACTAACTATTTAATTAAGAGGTTAACTAGTTACGTAACTAGTTAACCTCTTAATCAACTAGTTCGGTATCAGGTTAACTAGTTACGTAACTAGTTAACCTCTTAATTAACTAGTTAGGTATCAGGTTAACTAGTTACATAACTAGTTAACCTCTTAATTAACTAGTTAGTTATCAGGTTAACTAGTTACGCAACTAGTTAACCTTTTAATTAACTAGTTAGGTATCAGGTTATCTGGTGGCAGAAATATGCCACCATACATTTCAATGACAAATATTTTTAAACTTCTTTCACGCTCTTAATCCATAGTTAAGTCGTTATGAAAACCATGTTTGCCTTTTCTCTGAAAAAAAGGAAGAAATTATTTGTTTATAAGGAATAATCTGCATTTGGCTAAAGATTAATAGACCGTTGGTCATACATGTTCTTTCATGCATAAATCATTAGAATTAGATATAAACATGTGCAATATATTTATTCAGTTCGGCTGAGTTTTGTACACCTTGCCAATTAAGTCATGTATGTAATGTTTAAAGCTTTTCAATAAATCAACAATGCATAACTTTTTTTCAGGACCGATGTACTGGCCGGGCTTATTTCCAAATTATTGTGCTGGTATATTCCAGTCACCAATAAATATTGAGACCAGTAAGACAGTGTATAATCCAAATCTAAAGGAGTTCGCCATTTTCTACGATCCACCTTTGCGAGGATCAAAGTTTGAAGTTCATAATAACGGACATGCAGGTAACCAATCCAAGTTCGTAAAAAGTCGGATGTCTTCGACATTTTCCGTATCAAACAGTACAAGATCTATACATATTTACAAGTATTAGCATTTCCAAAAATGCTTGGAATCGCCGTTCAGCCATGAGCATACTTCTTGCATAATACCTTTATTGTATGTGGTCTACACATAAAACCACAAAAATGCTTGATTTATTCTACCATTTCGTTCTAGTCGTGTACATTAAAATTGATGTCTGCGAATGTTTTGATTCATGCTAACGTATGTGACTGCTTTTCTTTTTGAACTGGACTATCATGCAAGTTAAAACTCGCCCGGAAAAAAGCATATTTTTTTCTTCATTTGCAAGTTTTTGGAAAGAAAACAAAGAAAACACTCTTATTTAGACAATATTATCTAATCAGAAATGACGTGAAGCAAAAATATTGCATTTTGCTGTGTTTTTCCTGCAAGAACCTAAAGTCTGTACTGAGTTCGTACATTGATAATGGTATTTTTCAGTTGTACGAATAGGTAACCCGACAAAAAATGGCGGTTGGGCGAGTCTGTTTTCGCATCCCTTGTTGAAAGTATTTGACGTCCACTTTGTTATCATTTGATATTAAATTATTCGCTTTGATTGGCTAAAGGCAAGCAGTGTAAAGGTAGAACTGTTCAAATCTTAATTGTATATATCGCCGTTCCTGGTATATATAGCCATCCAGAAACGGCGATTATTTTAACTTCCTGCAGAAAATGTAGACAAATATCGGAAAAAATGGAAAATGTAGGAAAAATACCGGAAAATGTTGTTGTTTTTTTTGTGGTTTTTTTTTTTCGATTTCTAATTTCTTCATTGTTCATTTACTACCTTAATTGCGTAAACTCTATGTCCTTTCCACAAAGGGTCATGGAAAAAAATCTTCCAACGGATTAATACACAGGATACCATGTCTTTACTAGCGTATCAAAGGTGTTTGATGTTTCAGCTAACAAAAAGATAGCATAATGATTTTGAAATTTTTAATGATGAAAAAAAAAAACATTCACAAAACGATTTTCATTCAATATGTAACATAATTTTATTATGTTCAAAATATTTATTTGTTACTAATTTTAGTTGAAGTGAATACTGACGGAAGTTTCTACATTTCAAATGGTGGGTTGCGTTATTTGTATAAAACAGCTCAGTTTCATTTCCACTGGGGTAGTCAAGATGCTCAGGGATCCGAACATACAATTGATGGTGAACGGTATCCTCTAGAGGTACTTACATTTATATTTTAAAGGCCCATTATTCCCCAGGAATATTTTTAGTTTTATTTCTCAAAAGCTTTTTATTATTGATGCCCTCTTTAAGTTTCCAAAAATTTGTCATTGACCTTTTACATTAACCACCTTTTTGCTTCTGATACGTTTTGGCAATTACTTTAGGATAGTGATTAAGTATTTTGTATACAACGTACAAGTCAAATTACTACTTTGTTGACATTTTTCTACATTTCATATTTAGCGGTAATTTTTTAATGTGCTAAGCATTTAGCTTGCTGTAAACTATCATTTCAATCTTATAAAATTAATGTTTGCCTTTTCTAAAGAAGGATCAAACTATTCATTTCTAAGGCATGTTGTGCTTTTAAACAAGACATCATATGAACGTTTAATATAACCTTTGACAGAGAGACTCAGCAATTGCGATGTGACGTAAAACCCAATCTAACAAACAAACAAACTGCGAGTGTGATCTTTCGTATAAATATCGTAAGGAGTGGTAATTCTTTTACTATATGCGAAGCATCTTTTTAAGCGAGTATATGAGTAAGGTCTATTATACACAAGATATTGAGGTCCATAATTTTATTACGAACATTTCAACAGATACAAAAGCATCAATGTGAGTTTTTGTAGATGACGTATCTAGGTAACTTTGGTATAATATTAGTATTTATTTTCAGATGCACGTTGTGAATTGGAATAGCGACAAATACAAATCAAGTGACGAGGCTGGGAAACATCGGGAAGGTCTTGCTGTTCTGTCAATCTTGTTCAAGGTATCATCATTCGACAATCCGACATTGGAACCAATTGTTCGAGTTCTACATCAGTTAAGAGATCCGGGTAAGGAGATTTACGGGTCCAAGATGCTCCCTCGGTGACCAAAGACAAAGTTACCAGCATGCACCCATTTCCTGTGTCTAACATAAAGTACAACTTCTGTAGAGCAAAAGCTTAAATTGGAATACAAGGATTTTGGTTGGTGTTAGTGGTGTGTTCTACAGAAAGCCACCATCCCGCACTGGTTGTACTTACTGTATGCAATATATTCGTAAAAGTCTGACCTGATTCTATACAGATTGCATGGCTAATTGCAATCAACCTGTTAACTGTCTACAATCAGAACTTTAGACTGAATCAGTCGGTTTATTTTTTACCTGAAATAGTATAATCTACCAATTTAGTTTAATGACAACTGGAAATAGTGCTTGCGACAGGTACATTAGCTTAACCCTGAACAATCATGTTATGGTCATGCCCTGCTTTGAATTTGTCCTTTTTAATTATTGCAATATTTTATTTCGAAGTGCTCAATTGAGGAGCCAACAGTATAAAGTCTTGCCATACAACACAGCCGATATGACCCTTGCTAGTATGGCTGCAAGCATATAACTTATTAAATACGACCAAATATTTTGTCATATTACAAATGCAGTATCATCGAAAAAGTTCATTCTTTATCTTAAGTAGAACAATATATGTATATAGCGACCCTGTTGAGAGCATTTACCTCGTTACAACAACTGTATTATGTTTCCCTACAATAAAAATCTCTCTACAGCAAGCCTCTCTGCAGCAACCAAAATGTTTATTGTCCAATGAGTATTGTTCTTCAGAATTTTTATAACTTTAATATTAAGTTTATCTCACTTCAAACTTTACATATGTTATGATATAGCGAAAATAATTAATGTGAAAGTATAAGCTGAATAATTTTTATGAGCCGCGTCACGACAAAACCAACATAGTGTGCTTGCGACCAGCATGGATCCAGACAAGCCTGCGCATCCCCGCAGTCTGATCAGGATACATGCTGTTCGCTATCAGTTTCTCTACTTGTTAAAGGGTTTGTAAACGAACAGCATGGATCCTGATCAGACTGCGCGGATGCACAGGCTGGTCTGGATCCATGCTGGTCGCAAACCCATTATGTTGGTGTTGTCGTGACGCGGCTCATATATGTTAGTATGCCTGATAATAATTTAAAAATAGTGTCGATGAAAAAGATTTAAACTTTAAATTTATTCAGGATAATAAAGCACTATTTTCACAAGAAGTTTCTTATTTTCATCGTAGACAGACATGTATTAGTAACTATACCGGCTGTTTCAATAAAGGAGTTTCTACCCCAATCACCGGACAGATACTTCCGGTACGCTGGTTCCCTTACTACACCCAACTGCTCTGAAACTGTCATATGGACTATATTTGAACAGAACCAGTACATCTCTGAGAGACAGGTAAGATAATGAGGTGCTGACTCACTTGTCAAAATATGCATTCATATAAATTCTTTAAAACAATGTTGTAAAAAAAGAAAGTTACCAATATGCTTAAACTATAAAAATTGTAAATTCTTTATGCTGTGTTCTCGAGCAGATCAACTCGATCAAGCACGATCAAGCGATCGGGTACCGGTCTAGCTCGGTATGCATGCGTGATCGGGGGTGGTCGGAGCATTCTACCTTGGTCGGCATGGCTCGAGTTTACTACCCGAAATTTTTTGACATGTTAAAAAAAATTCGAGTAGCGATCGAGTAGATAAGCGGTCGAGAAGCGATCGTATAGTGACCGAATAGAAGATCTAGTTGATCGATTATAAATCGTGTAGCGATCTATTTTGGTCGGGTATACATCTCTTACCCGATCTGTACACGATCATTTCGACTTCTATTCACGACTCCATTACGATCTGGTCGGGTAGATATCTGGCATTCTACCTTGGTCGGCATGGCTCGAGTTTACTACCCGAAATTTTTTGACATGTTAAAAAAAATTCGAGTAGCGATCGAGTAGATAAGCGGTCGAGAAGCGATCGTATAGTGACCGAATAGAAGATCTAGTTGATCGATAATAAATCGTGTAGCGATCTATTTTGGTCGGGTATACATCTCTTACCCGATCTGTACACGATCATTTCGACTTCTATTCACGACTCCATTACGATCTGGTCGGGTAGATATCTGGCAACGATTGGCAGAGGTCCAGTTAGTCTAGTTGAGATCGTATATGACTCGCGTATATGTCTGGGTGATCGAGAAGAGGTTGGGATGTTGGTCGGGTTGTCGGGTCGACTTGAGGTCGTGTAGGAGTCATGAATGTGCATGTAATCCATCTTGGTCGGGCTTCATCGGGGAATTAATGTGATCGGGACGATCGAGTTGATCTGATCGGCGGTGAGAACATAGCATTAAAGCTAGTCGGTGGCTCGTACTTACTATTCAATTCACTGAAATTATTTGGACCTCTATTTGTGATATGAATTTAATGTTGCAGTGCTTAGATCTATTGTATATTAAATAATTTCGTCTTTATCAAATGTAATCAAAGCATTAAATTTACCAACCTCATGTGTATATATATAATTATTATTCTAGCTAAGGCACTTCCGGGAGATGTTTACCTCATCTCTTCATATTGAAGCAAGAACACGTAACCGGGTACTAGGTTAGTATAACTGGATTACATGTATATAATTATAAACTGAACGCAATATCAACTATTTTTTTAAAATTCTTAGCAAAATATGAATAGTCGATTAATTCGAAACACCTGTTTATTCCACTGCCGATTAGTATTTCACAAGAGATGTTCAATTATTTTCTGCGGAATTATTCAAAGACATTTCAGACACCCAGGGGATCTACTCAGATACCAGATTTATAATGTATTTACTTTGTGTTGTATGAAGAAATACTATTTTTAGAATATCTTTGAGTAAGTTATCATAGCAACGAAGGACCTTTTAAAGATCCTGTAACACATTTTTTTCATGGTTTTATTTCATAAATATGACACTCAAATTAAGATTTGTCAATCTTGTAAGTTTAAATAAGCATTATCTATAAAGATATTACCCAATTTAACATTTTGCGTAAATAAAGGGAGGTAATTAGAAATTTATTATCTATAAATTCTAAGTCAAATTTTCCAATAAGAAATGAATGCATGTAACTTATTGATTAAATATAATGTGCACTTAATTTGCAGTACACATTTTACATATTCTTTGATGTTTGAAAATTGTTTTATTTGCATAATTATATACATATATAATATTTTGCAAGCATGTGATACACACAATAACAAGATCAATCACAAAACATACAGAATCTTTAACTGGCTATTGATATTGGGTCTGTTTTAAAATACTGGAATCATATATTTGTCGATACAATTATCATTGGTTATAGGTAGTGTTAAAAATGAAAGCAATTAAGTGTTCTAATTGGTTCCAAATGCAGACGTATAACCTTGTGTAATTCTATATATCTTTTGACAGTGTATAATAATTTCCAATAGAAAATACATTATAAACATCAGACGTTATTTACAAGCATGATTGATATATTTTGTAGGTGAAGCTGGTGAATGGAGGGCATTATTGTCAGATAACTTCCGGCCAGTTCATAACCTTAATGGTCGAACGGTTTTCCGGAGTTTCCAACACCTTCCGTTACAAAGTGGCCAAACATGTAACCCGAGGGTTGACCTGGATATTAAACTGCGTACCTAACAAATGTACAATATGATATTCATTTATGTTATGTTAGGATGCTGAGACGAGAATGTTGTTTGGTAATGCATGTTTATAGAACATATTTGTTTGACCACATATTCTTAGGGTATGTTATTTTTTTATTTTAAAGATGTTCGAAATTTTTCTTTGATGTGCTTTTTTTTTTGCCTCTCATTGCTAAATGAAGCGAACAATTGATATGATATAAACGTGTAATAGAATAAATACTAAAATTAAGTGATCTATAGTCAGGCATTCGGTATATATGCTGTAATGGACTTAAGGTGGTTTTCAACATCGTTTGTGCTAAAAGCTGAGTTATTATAATAGTATAAAGGCAGGGGCCAAAATCATATATATAGGAAGCTTTTGGCGCCAAAGATGTATAGACAGTTGGAACAACAAGTAAGGGAAAAAAAAAGAAACTATGTCGGGAATCCGACCATATTTGCTTATGATTGTTTTGATATTAGCAATATATTCCTGCTTCGGAGTTGACATACATCAATAACGATGTAGTTTTATTTTTGTATGTTACATATCAAAACGTCAGAACGAGTTATAAGATTTAAAGATATGTGAAGAGTCTAATACATGAAAAATACTGAATGAAATTTCGTATTTAAAAATACAAGAACAATTTCGAAACAAGAATACATTGCTATGCCAGCGAGTTGGATTATTCTGTAAATAAACCTTTAATACCTCTAGAGTTGTCTCCTTGGCTTTATGATTTGCACAATGTTTAAATAGTTAACATCAATAGGTAAAATTAAAGAACAAATAAAACAGGCTTTTAACGAAACGCTTTATTGCAAAAGGCAATTTGCAGAAAACTATGGTGACAGATGTAAATATAATTGTACAAAAATAACTTCATGACATTTGATGTCACAGTGGAAATAAATAAATTGTGAAAGTTATGTACAAACAATGATACAAATAGATATGAAGTGTAGAAGAATGGAAATAGAGGATGAGGTATGTAAGTTGATATAAATAGAAAAAGAAAATTACGTCACATAGACTGTAAACATATATAAATGTCTACTTGTAAACATATACAACTGTGTACTTTACAGTGAAATAACGACGGCCGAAGTGGCCAGATATATGGAATGTCTATAAACAAAATGCAACATGTACATTTATAAGTTTTGTTTGTGTTGTTAAATTATACAAAGTCTACCATCCAATAACTTCTAGTACATGAATAAAGTACTTTCTCGAAGCCATTCTTTTACTTTCGATTAACATTTCGGTACATTTGTACTGTAAAGCGAATCACAATCTTATCTTATCAACTTTTCATTTTAATTGCGATATAAATTCACATTTCTGGTTCAACTGCAACAAACTAGTATATAATTAATATGAATTCAAAATATTGTAGAAATCGTATACATGGTCTTATATAGCAACATTATCTAAGAATTCATAAATTCACATCTAAATTGTCGTCTGCTTCGCTTTACTTTTACTGCATTCTGATATCCGGTTGAAACTTTATTCAGTATGCAAAATGTCTGCAAGAGCGTGCGTTCAAAAACATCAGTCACGAGATATCTTGATGATTAAATAATGAGCGTCTCCAAGCCCTTGATGTTCTTGTTATCATTTTCCTCGGGCCAAAGTTCAGCTGGTAGGAGCACCCGGTGCTTGCTGATACAATGGTAATCATGATGTTCGTACTTCTGTCTTGCTCCCTGGAAGTATACGAAAATAAATTATACAATGAAGTTAAACATATACTTCTTTTTGCTAGATACTATGTAGTTGCGCTATATGAGCCGCGTCACGACAAAACCAACATAATGGGTTTGCGACCAGCATGGATCCAGACCAGCACGCGCATCCGCGCAGTCTGATCAGGATCCATGCTGTTCGCTTACAAACCCTATTACAAGTAGAGAAACTGATAGCGAACAACATGGATCCTGATCAGACTGCGCAGATGCGCAGGCTGGTCTGGATCCATGCTGGTCACAAACGCACTATGTTGGTTTTGTCGTGACGCGGCTCATATGGTAAAGTTTGCAGCGTCCGACTGATAAGCGTTGCTAAGACGTTCGTCAACAAGAAAAAGCTTGATAGATAAAAACAAATTTTGCTGAATGTGTATGGTCAATAAATGTCGGTTATATTTGAATGTAAAAATAAACTATTCTTTACGCTTTAAGGAAAAAAAACAACAGTTGAGTCTGTTGCTGATATGTATTCCGGAACTTTATTTAAAAAGTAACCTCTAGAGATTAAATAAGGTCTGCTGTTCTAGCTAGCTGCGACTTGAGTGAATGAGTGTAACATTATTACTATTGAACTGATATGAATTGATTTGAGTTTCTTTAGACCAGGCGGTCAAGGATAGCCTACGAAAGTGCAAGCACTTATTTCCAGTAGGGTCCTCACATCAGCAGACACTAAAGACAGCTATGAGATACAAAGGAATCCGGAAACCAGTCCCTACCTCTTATTTAATAGATCCCTTGGTTCTTTTACATGCCCAGTGTATAGCGCTGATACATGCGAGGATTATCTGGATTTCGTACCAGTGTACATCTAGGTAGGTGGGAAACACTGATAGTATTTCTGAAAAATCCCAAGGGTGTTACCCAGGTGTTACCCAGGATCAAACCCGGAACCTCAATGTTCTAACCAACTGAGCTATCGCGCCACCTGGGCTTTATTGTTTCTTGAGATAGTGACCAATAGCTCCACACCTAAGTTTCTTTAAACAAAATTAATCTATATTTACATGAAAACGATTCAAAGAAACTTACAGAAAACTTTTGGACTTGTGCAACTTGGCCAATCTCGTTTCATTGATTTAACACACTCACTCAGGTCATTCTCTGATACTTGGTGTAATGAGCAAACGCCTGATCCCAGACGATCTCGCATCCTAGAATTTCTCGCGAGAGGTAGATGGCACTGGCTGCTACATAGAGTGATAGAAATGAACAAACGTGATGTCCGTTAGCGTCAAATCTAGGAAATACATAGACATGCTCTGACCTGAAATCAGCAAAAAGAGAGCAGTGTGTTAAAACTTTGTATTACATCAACGGGGTATATTTTTGTTTCACGAGAATCGAGTTATCAGTTGTTAGCAAAAAGATGGCCCCAAACTGAGTTCCATAGTTGATATATTCATGCTATAGCAAATGACAATGAATAAGCTTTTATTAAATGATTGAACGATTATCAATATAAGTATACCAACAAATCTAAATACCATAACTTTTAAATATGTACCATTAAATTACCTTTAAATAATCATTTACAAATATAAATAAGTGTTAAAGGAGCTCCGCTGAGGTAAAAAAGCCTAAAAACATAAAATTTCAATGTCTTACATAGTTACTTAGATCAGATGAGGCACTTACAATAAATTGTTATGCAAATGACAGTAAAAAAAACAATATACCCAGAAATAAATTTGAAATCGTATTTTTTTGCTATCCTTAGACCAATTTGAGTGAAAAACGTTAAAACGCTTTTTAATCTTGGATAATTGTTCACAATTTAAATAATTATTCTGGAAAAAAGAGTGAGCAAACGATCTGAAAGTTTGCATACAATTTGTTGGTCTAGAACTACATTAAATGGAACATTAATCTCGGAAATTTATTTCTAGTCCCATCATGTGGTGTCCCTTTAATGTAAGAAAACATACCAGCGTTTTCTTCTCACATTGATTCACCAGAAGAAATCTCTCCAGGAATATGATAGGTCCAGGTATATTGAGTTCAAATTTTACTTTCTTCAGGATATAGATTTCCATCTTAAGAACTTGTGACGGCTGGTACGTTCCATCCGTGAGATGACAGAGGTCAGCAATCTAACGAGAGAGAAAAAGCTATTGTGGTAATTGTTCACTTATTAAAAGCAGCACACCTCCAAATTTATTCTAGTTTTTATGAAAAACTTGAAAAAATTATTATATAATAAATATATATTACATTGCAAACGGTACGTTCAATTTCGAGTATATTGCCAAATAAAGGTCAAAATATGCAAAACTAGCCCTTTATGCGTTGGTCACGCAGTAGAAATATGGTGATAGATACTGCAAAATCAGTAATTAATTTCATATAACATGTAAATCATTACTTGAATTGTGAATATTTTTACTTTTCTTAACATCTTACTTCATTTTTCTCGGAGTCGTTTTTCTTTTCTTTTTTTAGGGGAGGGGCTAATTTTAGGCATGCAGCTTTTAAGGCAGGAAACGTAAATGTTACAGATGGAAAATACCATTTTCATAAATTTGTAAGGGCCGGACGGGGAACCTTTTGGACGTATATTCTTTCTAAATAATTTCTAACATATATACTACACCCGAATCCCCAAGAGGGAATTAAAGTTCCACGAGGGAATTTCGAATCCGTTTATTTGTACAGTGTTGATCTACAAATTTTCAGTTTTCTAAAGTATTCATGTATATCCAATTTGCACTAATATTACGAAGGTATGTAGTCAAAGTATTTCGAAACAATCAAGAACATTTAATATGTCTTGATTTCTGAAAAAAAAAACAAGCTTTATTAACATAATTTTAATACCCGGTGGAAATCTTTCGTGTATTTTGGCTGCAAAATGGAAGATGTGATACCAAGGGGTTATGTAGGGTACACTTCACGTCTGCATTTGACAGAAACTTGTCAATCAGGTTTACACACAGATGCAGGGTATACTGTGATAAATCTAGGTGTACCTGTTATATTCAACAGAAATAATAACTCAGAAGAAATCGTTATAGGTAATAAGTTTAATTGTAATATACAACCAGATTACATATCATTGGTAATAAGAATTATAGCAGGTAAACATACGTTCTATGCTTACCCATGTTATAATGGAAACCAAAGGCATAAGGAATTTTCAAAATTTAATATTGAAACGAAATAAACGAAATGATCTTTTGACTGTTAAAATAGACATAATACAAATATGTCAAGAAAGTGTTACTATCTAATAAGGGCCAGCATATTATC